CTGTTGACCCTGAGGACCCACATAGGGAGCGACTCTAACAAGAGCATAATGCAGTGTGACACCTCCGGCACAACAGACTGTCATAACCACAAACACACACACACACACACACACAGAGGAGTGCCATTCAGCATATTCAGGAAGTCAGCATCCATGCTGCAGACCTCACAAACACACACACACACACACACACACACACTCCTGGACACCTTCACAAGCACCACAGCAACACTCTGTCAGTCAGCACTACTGGCGTCTCTTTAGTGTAGATATCTGCACAGATCCTGGCAGTAATAATAAACAGTATAGATCTGCACAGTTCAGCACATTACAGGCAGTGTTTAGCCAGCTATCACACACACAGGCAGTGTTTAACCAGCTTTCACACTCACACACTCACTCACTCACTCGAACAGAGGCAGTGTTTAACCAGCTAAAAACACACACTCAGACCTGAGCAGTGTTTAATCATTTAAGCAGCCGTCTTATCTCTGTATAATGGAGAGAAAACAAGATTAGATAGGTAGTGTTTTACATACTCTCCACACAGCTTGTGTTCCATCAGCACCCTCTGTCCACAGACAAGACAGAAATGATCTTTCAAATCCTTTTAATAGCACTAATATGGAAAGAAGTTCAGTGCTTCCAAGAACTGAAGCATTTATTCATTCACTAATTGTCCATGAACTGAAACAGCGAGGGGAGGGAGGGGGGGACATATTGAACAACAAAAGCAAGCACTTGAGGAGAATCGCTCCATGGACATGGATTACCATTAAGAGTGAATGGGAGTAACGGAGGATTGATTGGAGCTTAGCCTTCTCACTGGAGAAAACTGAACGATAGGACAGTGGCTGAACTCACAAGAGCTGCACTAACTAGCCACCTAACAGTCCCACAGGGACATAGATAAACACATACAACCCTCTCTTCCATCCATACACTGATTTATCTGATTATTTTTATCGAATAAACACTATATATACAGTACAATTATGAATATAATACAAAGTCACATTAATCCTTAGAAGTCACAGTTATTGCCAGCAAAACAAAAGCATGTTTTGATTTTATATGAAATATTTCTCTGATCGCTAATTAAAACAAGTGGGAAAGAGCAAATTCTTTCAATGGATATTTCATTGTATTGTGTTTCTGAATAGAAGAGGATATCTTTCATTATGATTTGAGTCTAATGAAATATTATCATGCATACTGTCCTTTACATTTTTGTGATGTGTTCATCATTGCTTGACTTGAAAACAAACAGCAAGAAATCAAGAGCGCAGACTTGAATACAGAATATAAATCAAATGTAAATGTACTTCATTATGTAACTATGTAATTAAATATATGACTATATAATTACATTTAAATAGAATAACAAATATAAAGTAATAATTTCTAATGATTAACATATCTTGGTCCTTAACTATCTGGCAAATTTGTGCACTCGCTCAAGTGCTCTGTGACTCAAGTAAAAAATGCATTGTCCATCTCTACTATATATACTGTACAGAACTTCAACCCCGATCAAAAGAACCACTTCATTCTTATTGATTGTTGCTCAGTAGCCAGTTTTCAGCTGTCTCTTAAAGCTCCCTAGAGTAGGAACAGAGTTGATTTTATTTGGCAGTCTATTCCTGTCTCTTGCCTCAGTTTAAGTACTTGCTTTGGTCTGCCATGCTTCTCAAAGGGCTTCTAAAACGAACCAGCTTGGCTCTTACTTTATGGCTAGGTGCTTCCTGAGAAGACTGAAGCAGTCAGATAAATAATGTGGACAAACAGCTCTAAAGACCTGGAAGAAGGAGTTTTATAGATGCCTCAGTTATGTTTTTACTGAAAGACACTGCAGTTCCTGAGACAGAGTCAGTTCAGGGTTTTGTGGCCATACTAGAAAACCGCAGTTCAGACAGTACAGGCAAAGGTCAGGCATTGAGTCAGAGATTCAGCCAGTGTCCTCATTGAGACACACTGTCATCCTTGCTACTGTGCCCTTGCATGCACTTTTTCTATGGCTCTCAAAGCTATACGTATCTACAGTCAAACCCTGCTGCAGTTCAGAAAACAGATAAGCAATCTTGCAATCGTTCTTTTACTGATATCTGATAGCTTATAATAGAAAAACTGTGTGACTCTCTGACTTTGTGTCTAGATCCATGTAAAGTGCATTCAGTCTTGTCTAGGTGTAATTATCATTTTGCTTTTGGCCCAGCACTTTCTCACCCTGGCATGTAGGTCACACACAGCTCTTCTATCATCTCCTTCCTTTAGTCTGAAACCAACACAGCACAGCTGACGCAATATATCAGGGGACATGGCCAGACAGGCTCCAAGCCGCAGACCAGGACAAGCAAATTTAGTTTGGTATTCTAATTGCGCACACACACAGACAAAGCCTTGCAGAGTGAATAGAACGCATGACTGAATAGTTTATCTAAAAGGCGTCTGCTGTGGACAAAGGGCTGGTAAGTCAAAGAGGGATTTCATTATTGCACTTGACCTGCAGCTTCAATTAAGCGTTGGCGGTTTCTAAGGGGGAAAAGGTCCACACTCTTTACCAGCCCTGCGGAAAACGGGTTTATCTTGAGGCCTGGGCCTGAATGGGAGGAGAGAGACTTCTGTTTCCACTTCTCTCTTACCCCCACTGCGCCTCTGGTGACCCCACAGCAACAGCCCTCTTCACAACAACATCATTTTAGCACCAATACACGCACACACACATACTCCTCAGCACCAATGTGGCCTGGGAGACTGGGAGCAGCCTGCATGCATAATTGAGATTCAGCCACCCCCTCTCTCACACAAAAGGGGTATTAGTTTATATAGATTAATTAGAAATGTTATTGTGTAAGTATGCCAGTGTCTCGCTCTCTTTCTTCTGCTTCTGATGTTATTTTTCTTTTGTTGCCGTCAAATGACTGGACTTGATGGACTCCTGGCCTGACCAGGAAAGACAAAGGGACCAAATCCACTTGCCAAAGTGTCTCTGCAAGCAAATAAGACAGTAACACATTTCCTACAGCATCACCCAGTCATACCCATATTATTAGACAACAATGGCTAAACACCAGTAAGGCCTTAAAGCAAATTAGTGAGACAGATACAGTCGTATGCCGGTCATGTTTTGCTGATTTTCTAAGAGAAAATAAGTTAACAAGTGTGTTCTCTGTGTGTGTTAACTTATTTCCACTCAACAAATCATGTCATTTGACCAGTGGTGCCCAAATTTTTGCACACGACCGTAGGTAGAGAGAGACAGGGATAGAAAGGAGACGGAGAGAGTCATTTCTTATTCATCAGTGCTGTCCTGTCCAGCCCAGCCTCCGTGTATTGCTGCACCCTCCTTGAATTACCCCTCCCTTAAAATACAAAACATTATTGTTATAACAGTTATTATTATATTCATCATTATTACATTGTCAGAAAGTGCAGATCAACCACAATTCCCCACAGGTCCGAGAGAGAGAGAGAGAGAGATGGAAAGAGAGAGAAAAGGGTAACCGTGCACTTTGACTGCTTTTTCACATCAGTGATTACACACACGCGCACAAACACACACACACGCTCAGGTAAAGGCAGTTTTGGGGGGAACTGTATATCTCAAGGATTCCTGCAGAGATGTGTCCCCATCAGCAAGTGAAAGAAAGAGAAAGAAAACCACGAGCACAGAGCAGCGTACACTACAGAAGCCCTGACAGGGCACACAGCGCGGCTCAACAAACTCGCTTTTTGCTTCTATTTTCACGGCAAGTTTGGAAGAACATTTTGATTGGTTTCTTCGAATGTCTATTTTTCTGAAAAAAAAAATGACATCAAGCTTTTTTGTGTGTTTTTTTTTTTTTTTACATTTTCTCCTTTGAATGTTCACAGTCTCGGAATTGTGGTTTTTCCTTCACCCCGACTGGGTTCAGAGTTCAGTAAGATAAATAATATTTCTGTTGGAGCTACATCACGTCACCCACAGCACACAGACGACAAAGTGTCCCAGGAAAAGAAGGGAAATTTACTACTATTGTGCCAAAGATAGAGAGAGCACAGAGAAAAAAGATCAAGAGAGAGGGAGAGAGAAAGGAGAGTCACACAAAGTCACACAGAAGGACAAGTTATCATTTAGACAAAGAGAAAGGGAGAGAGGGACAGAGAAAGAAAGAGAAGAAGAAGAAAGCAGAGACTGAAGATGAGATAACGGAACAATTCAATAAAGATGGAAGAAGAACAAGACTAACTGGGATGACTGCATTTAAGAATGGAGATGGTGATGAAAAGCAAAAAGGAATGGCAACAAAGGACGTATCTGAGGGCCTGCCATTCACACTTTATGCATTAAATGAACATGACCTATAGGCCTTAGATTCACAAGGGATGTCTGAGGTCTGGAAAAAATACACTTCCCAGAATTCCTCTTGTGCGCAGTTCTGAAAAAGTCCATAAGATGGCTGATAAATGAGCTCCCTTGAGCCTCCGAAGGCTCTTGCCTGGAGTTAATGAGAGAGTGAAGACTGACCCACAAAAACAGGAGCGAGAAGGAGAGTGGAGGATAGAAAACACGAGAGAGGGAGATAAGAGGACAGAAAACAAGAGAGATGGATGCGAACCAGGGAGGAGTAGACAGAGGAGCGACGTGTGACCTCTAGAGAATGAGTATATACACTCATACAGATAAACAGAGAGCTGGGCTCGGTGGAGGGTGAAAGAGGTATAAGAAGAAAAATAAACATTGGTAACACATTACATTAAAGTTTGCATCCAGCTTTTTTAAATGGCTTCATTTAACTTTAGTCATTGTTAAAGTGTATCAGCAGGTACACTGACAAGTCAAGACTTATTATTTGCTTAGAGTTACAAAAGGTGAGCTACTTGGATAACGTAACTGAAGGCTTAAGATCACTTGATATGCAGACCTTAACAAAACATGTTACCAAAATTACAGCAGAGATCAAAAAGGGTTAGACGAAAGAGGGAGAGCGGAAAAGAGAGACAGAGGGAGTGAGAGAAAGTAGAGAGAAAGAAAGAGAGAAAAAGAGAAGACAAGAGGTGATAAAAAGAAAGAAGCTCAAGGTTGAAAGTTAAAGGTTACGAGAGTGGATGGCTAAAAGTACCCGTGTTTTGCAGTCTGGCAGCGAGTCAGTCTTGTGCATAAGGGTGGGGCTGGGGCTCAAGGGTCAAAGGTTAAAGGATGGGGGGCGGGGACAAAGTGAGGGCGATCAGGCTTTGAGGGCGTGCCACTGCGCCACGTTGGTGCGCGGCCTGCTCAACATGTCCTTCCAGTGCTTCACCTCCGCCGGGCCACTCTTCCATGACAGATAGATCTGACGCAGGAACAAACACACACACGTGCTCATGAACATTCTGCTTTGTAATTCATGCACTATATGGCCAAAAGTATGTGGACACTGACCCATCACACCTCTATGAGCCTGTTGGACATCCCCTTCCAAAACCATAGACGTTAATGTGTAATGGGCTCATCTTTTGTCACTATAACTGCCTCCACTCTTCTGGGAAGACTTCTGATTCAGCCAAAAGAGCATTTGTGAGGTCAGGCACTGATGTTGGACAAGAGGGTTTGGCTCTTTGTCAACGTTCGAATCCATCTCAAAGGTGTTAATAAATAGGGTTGAGGTGTTTATGCACACGAGCACAGTTATGTTGGAACAGGAAAGGGCCTTCTCCAAAATTAATGGTATATAACTGTGTAAAACGTCTTTGTATGCTGTGGCAGTAACATTACCCTTCACTGGGCCTGGTCTGAACAGTCCCAGGCCATTATTCCTCCTCCTCCAAACTTTACTGTTAGCATTATGCGTTCGAATAGGTAGCGTTCTCCTGGAATCTGCCAAATAGAGATTTGTCCAGCAGACTGCCAGATAACAAAACGTAATTCATCACTCCAAAGAACAGTTTCCACTGCTCCAGAGTCCAGTGGCATGCTTTACAGATTATACATGGTAATCTTAGGCTTGTTCGCAGCTGCTTTGTTGTGAAAACCCATTCATGACTGCAAAGGCAGTTTGGAACTTGTAGTGCGTGATGCAACAGAGGATAAGAGATTTTTTACTCTAAATGCACTTCAGCTCTCAGCAGTCCCAACTCTGTGAATTTGTGTGGTCTACCGCTTTGTGGCTGAGCAGTTGTTGCTCCTAGATGCTTCCATTTCACATTAATAGCATTTACAATTGACCTGAGCAGATCTAGCAGGCCAGAAATTTCATGAACTGACTTGTGGCAAAGTTGGCCTCATATGACAGTGCCATGTTTAAAATCACTGAGCTCATCAGTGCAACCTGTTCTATTGCCAGTGTTTGTCTATGGAGATCACATGGCTATTTTATATACCTCTTAGCAATGGGTGTGGCTGAAACACCTGAACTCAATAATTAGCTGGGGTGCCCACATACGTTTGTCCATAAAGTGTATCTACCCACAACATCTACACTATTATGTGCAAAACAAGTAAAAATAGATAGTTCAACAAATCACAGCAAGTTTTGAAAACAAACATTAATATTAACTCCATCTTTCAAATCAGAGATCATGGTTGCTCTTGCTTTTTCAATGCTTGGCGCTCCCAGCTACAGCAGAGCCGTGAGCTTCACCACACACATATGGTAGAGCTCCTATGCGTAGGAGGAACTCTCCACACTGAACTTTCTTAGCAGAATGAGCCGCTGCTCAGTGTCTGCATCTTTGAGTCACACTGGCTAAATGAAAAACAATAACTTGTCACTGTTACTAATCGACAAATCCATTTTTTCTTTCTCTGTGTCTTCATTTTGTGCTTCACATCAGACTTGATATGAAGGTTTTTGTGCATCAATTCTATAGTAATCTACTAAGATCATACAACTGAATATCAAACTAAAATTATGCTAGAAAATACAGTCTCTGATAGCGATTTGTGCCTCACAACGTTTCGTGCATAAAAGAAAAAATTCAACTTATCAATTCTGTGGTCATTAAATATATTTATCAATAAATTAATTAGCCAGCCCTAATTATCTTAGCCACTAATATTACATATAAACATACCATACTGTTCTATACTACTATAATATCCAAACATAATCCTAGATGAAATGCCTCACATGATGTGTGCTGATCAATAATGGAGATATTCTTTTGATGAGTGAACAAATTTGTTGTGTGTGTATTTGTCCTTACCTTGCCAATGACATCGTTACGGCTCAGCCGGTCCTTGTCCATGACGGTGATGATGATGGTGGTCTCTCGGAGCACGTGTGCAGGAACATCAAAGGGGAAGGACTCATTAAAGACAGGGTTCAGGCAGCGCTTAATGGTCACTGTCTTTTTCTTCTCCACACGCTTGTCTTTGTGCATGAGCCACACCTTCACATAGGGATCTGCAGCCAGTCAGAGATGGAAATACAGGTCGTGCAAATGCAACTGTCATTCAGTCAAACCAGCACACGTTTGCATTGATCTTCTAGTCCAGTTAAAACTCTACTTTACTTTACTCTAAATCTGTTCCCTTAAAAATTTACTGATGTTTCTCCTTGAAAGCACTGGCCACTTCTGTAATGCCCTCCTACTTTGAAATCATAGCTCTGTGAAAGTGTAAAGGTTATGAAAGCAGAGGTAATATGAAGGACAAAATAGCTGGGTAATAGTGGAAGATCAATCTGAGCTGGAGTCAGACAGAGTGAAGAGATGAGAGCGTTTGCTACAATTGCTGTGAGATCAGTATATACGTGTGGCTAAGACTGCAGATCAGCTTTGAAATGTCTGAGGTCAGCAAGGGGAGTTAAAAAGGGGAAAAATGGAGACAGAGCAACTTAGCATGAAAATAAGACAAAGCATAACAGTAAGTGAAAAAGACAGCTGTTTAACCCTCAAATGCATGGCTGCTTCCTCAGTTGTTTTCACATATTTCAAGTCTCAAAGCTACACTTTGTACATTACTGAGTCAGGAGAAAAAACATGCAACAATTCCTAAAATCCCTAAAATCTAATGGTGTCTCGTGTATTGCTGTGAGTCATTCTGTAAAGCCTGAAATAATAATTTAAAAGTAGTGTCAGGTCGGATTTTGCGTAGAGGCTGTGACTTGTGTGCATCTCAAATGTAAAATTAACATTATATAAGATTAAGATATGATGACATAGTACTTAGTACTTAGTTCACTGACGTCATCGCAAAACACGTCCTTCATCAAGTTTTGACTTAATTCTCTTTGAATACACTTTTAACACACTCTCACATGTCAGATTCATCAGCTCAGGTAAAGGGTCTGGTTCACAATCAAAGCTACTAAATTCTTCTGCATGTTGCGTGCAATTACACATTTCCACCAGAGAGATCTCCAAATCCCCAAATCTAACATAGTGCAGATTTCCGAGAACTGATCTACAAACTGTCAGGACAGAACTGTCAAAACAAAATAATTTTGATATTGTTTTTGTCACTTATCTGAAACTGGAGGGGGGATGAGGTAAAGTGTCACTTGCAACAGATATATATAATATACATTTAAGGGCTAAATACAGAAAGATACAAATACAGAAATATATGTAAGTTCATTTGTGTCTGTTGTTTATCTACATATGCATGTGTACCTGAAGTGCCTCCGATGTCCATGGCTTTTAGGTTGCGTGCTTTAATGATATTAACTGTGATGGTGTTAGCAGTGGGATTGTAACAGAGAGAAACAAGCAGGTCTCCTCGACTCCCCTACAAGTCAAACACAAACAAATATTCCTCTCATTCATAATTAATCCCACACAATCACCAGGGATCTAAAGCTTCTGTTCATAAGAACGGATAATATCTGATAGAAACTCTATTTCATCTTTTATTCTCTTTTTGATGCCCATAATCCCTCTGAACTTCACCCAGTTCATGTCTACACTAGTTTGTCACTACCAAAGCTGAATGCAAAAACAAATTTCTTAAATAACAATTCACAACACATGTATGATGCATGTCTAACAAGACTATGGCTGCTGATGACGGTTATGTAGTAATTCATCTATAGATGTTTTTTTTCAATAGAGTTTAACTGCAGTCACAAGAACTTATATAACAAGAGGGATCTTAAGTAACGACATTATTAAACAGACAAGACTGTACAGATGCTGTCTTCACAGGGAACATCTTCCCACACGAAGCATCAGCAGGGGCCTAAATTGTTTGGAACTTGTGATTACATCAAAGATGTTAAATACAAAAAAGACATTTAAAATATCCCAACAAAACAGCCAATTAACAATAACAGGCTAAAACAACAGTAGCCTGCATGCCGATAACACGGGAAGCTTTAGCAATTTTATGGATTTAGCTAAAATTCAATGTATAGCCTAAAGTACATGTTTATTTTCTTTGTTTAAAATGAGCTTCTCTGTGGTGTTACCACTTTACATGCTGGGCTGAAACCAGTTATTGGAGCAAGGTGGCATGGATAAGAACTAGAAGCTCCTCAGCCTGTAGGTTAGGGTTAGGAGCAGGTAATGAGATTTGGCACTTGATAAAAGTGTCTATACATTATAAGAGAGGATAACTGTCCTGTTAAAATAACAACAAAAAACAGAACTAAAAGTTTACCTGAATTCAAAATTAACTTTTTTACTAGTTAGTAGTTAGTAGTACTAATTAGTATCCTGGTCTAATCAAGCACAATCCATCATGTCATTTAAAAGACAAAATTCTTGTCTTTTCATACTCTTTCATTAAATGCAATGACTTTTGGCTACCTCTGAAACGTCTTCTGATTTTTTATTTTATCACCATGCTCCAGTGAGTGGGGATAAATAATATTAAGCAGTAATACCATGTTTCACCTCTTCTTCCTTCTTCCATCCCACCTATCATCGAGTGAAAATGCCAGGTAGCTCAGAGACCCTCAATGATACTGTGCTTCTCTTGGTAATAGGTTATGGTATGGAAGGAAAAATAGATTTTCCTTTGACTATAAATATCTAAATCAATACTATGTTTCACCAAAGACCAAATAAGCAATGCATCAAACAGCAGCACAGACGATCCACTGTTACTAAATATTTATGCAGTAGTTTTCTTTAGAACTGGCTAGTTTACCCAATATCTCTACAACTATACTCTAAACACAGTCATTCCCACCGGCAGGACGGTCAGTCTGATAGAGATAAGCCACTCACGCTCCCGTCACTGCATGGTTTCAGCTCCTTCCAGAAGGTCTGGTTGTGGCCCAGCTCCACTTTGTTTAGTGGAATGGACACCTCTCCTATGGGGTCATTCCTGCTGAAGCGGTCATAATCCAGCACCTGAAGGTACAATGTCCGCTCTCGCACTTTCTCGTATGGAAACCCTAGCCAAAAAGAGGGGCAGAAATGTAAATGGAATATCTAAAGTCACCTAGTACTTTTAATGGTCTGCAATAACCTATTCTAGGCCAACTAAAATAGTCCCAATAGAGTCTGGCTACAGACATGCACTCTCAGCCAGATGCACTCTTAGCCACAGTGACGTCACGTGCACATGCACTCTCTGCCACAATGGCAGAAGCAGCCCAACAGCACGGTAACTTTTGGCTGCTGCTTAGCGATATCATTACTTAACCCATTTTTTGTCCATAACATGGCTAGAGAGTTACATTTAATGTACCTCCCTGTTGAAAAAATCATTAACCATTAAAAGTGTCTGTTCGTTCCTGGAGGTTTTCAGTAGTCACTAATGGTATTCTGTGTTTTCCTGAAGGGTTAATATCACAGTGTAAAGAATTCTGATCATTTTCTAATGGCCTTTAATGGCAATATATAAAGCCAATTCCTGTTAGGAAGCAAAACCATCGGGTTTTATTCCTAACAGCCCTGCAAACACTGTAACGTTGTGACAACGTACTGTTTTGGTGCCCACAACGTTGTCTGCCTGGTGCTCTCTACATTGTCACAATATGTAATTCCTCAGAAAGTTAAGACAACGTTGTCTGACAACTTTCTATGAGGTTGTGATGACGTTGACGAGACAGCAAAAGTAATCTGTACCACGTTGACTGTATGTTGTCACAACCTCCTGGAATCCTTCAATTTCAATTTTAATCAATATTACAGTTTTTGATAACCGGTTCTAATCGTCTTCAGCTTGGCTTTCTGCGAATATACCCGACATTCATGTCTTATCGTCGTGGTAGGTTTTATTTTGAAAGTTTCCATACTTAACTACCTTATTATCAGTATGACAACGTTAATATACATTCAGTGTGACTCTTGTTTCCCAACAGTATGTGGTTCGCTGTTTTTCCTCATAAAACTGACAAAAACACTGTTGTAGCAGAGCGTGCACTGACGTCATCAATAGGCTGGCGGTGCATGTCAGGCTGACAGTCCATGTCTGCAGCCAGACCCTTCTCAAAATAGTCAATATGAATAAAACAGTCAATGACAGTATATTTCTCTCACAACTCAACTAGCCAATGGCAGCCAAATTTAGGTAACTATAATATGCCTCATGAGTAGACAGATAGTGGTACACAATTAAAAGACAACTACTATAGCATCAACAAGTCCAAGGTAGCTGAAATGCAGAGTAAAGGTAAAATTGTGTACATGGGATTTGTAATGATGTTCCAGAACAAACTGATGTGAATGAAATCTGGCTTGTGAAACAGAATAACAGTACGCTCCTCGTTAGCTTTCACAGTTTTGTTGTCATAGTTAAGTTTGTGCCACTCATAAACAAAGTTTTGTGGGAGTTTTGGGCCACGTCCAAAGCCAACCCAAAGTGTGTTTCTAAGAACAGTGCAATGCGTGACTGTGACTGCAAATCTAAAATTAGGAACAGACAAACCTTCAAACAGGAACGTCTCATTCCAATGAGGATTAAGGTTCTTTCTCTTCACTTTGGTCTCCAGTTTGTGCTTTTTGTCAGGCAGCAGGTATATTTTTACAAAGGGGTCAGAGGTTCCGGAGAAGTCTTTAGCGGGCAGGTCTTGACCTTTAATGATTTTGACAGTAAGAGTAGAATCCTGGAAGCTGTAGCCCACGCTGAACTGAATCCTGCCTAACTTCTCACTGACTGGACCTTCATGGTCTTCATCTGAGCCAGGAGACAACTAAACAGGGAGGAAAAAGAATCACGAATACGGTCCTTTGAGTACCAACAGAAGTGTAAAAAGCAATTCATTAAATTATCTGGGGTGCAGTGCTCTTTAAACTGAAGTAGATTAACCCCAAACTTGTTCTCAATTGAAGAATTTGATGATTGTTTCTGTGAGTCAGGTACTGATAGAATGATTCCAGCAGACAAACAAAACCTCACAGACAGACGCACACTCATCTCCCCTGAGTCTCCTTGGAAGTGCAGTGCTAGATAAGAGACTCTGGCTTGGAGTGGGCAAACTTCAGTCCTCACAGATATGACTCAGCATTAGAAACACAGAGCAAGGTCATGAAACACACATGCACTCTTACCATCACCATGTCTCCGGTGAGCGAGTTAGCGAGGTCAGAGACGGAGGAATGTCCATCAGCATCTGGAGGCTGACCCTTAGGACTGTTGGCTGGCTTATTCCCCATATTCCTACTGCAGACAGGCGTACAGACAGGCAGAGAGACAGAGACAGACAGAGTGATTCTCCATACGAGGAAGATTATCTTTCAGTGTGCGTAGTTCAGTTTACCCTTCATCGGCCCAAGTCGCTCTGTCTCATCAAACAAACCCAATATGGAAAATCCAGATCTTAGATTCTGACTGGAGCACATAAACTTCAAAAAATGATATTTTCTTTTTCTCTGAGCTGCACACACAGTTCAGACAGTAAGCATGTGATGGAAATCTGAGCTCTCAACAAGATTAAGTTCTGCATCAATCATAGAAATAATTATAAACCAGCAAATGAGTGAGTAGCTAATGCCTAATCCAGAATTTGGAAAGAGAGAAAAACAACACCAAAAATGCAACTTAAAATATTTCAAAACACATCTTATTACTTGGTTACACTCACAGACAAACCATTTAAGGACAAAGCATGATCAAATTCAAAAACCAATGCAATAAACCAAAGCATTTTAGCACAAACAGATATTTCAGAAACCAACCAGACACACAGTCAAATATACACACAGATTATTGAACATATGATTTGTTTTTTAAGCAAGGGTGATACAAGAACGCAGACGAACGTCACATATACATGAGCAGAGAGCAAACTACGAAGGAATGAAAGCTGTGAAACAGTAACATCTCTTACAGTTTAGCAGGTATAAATCTGCTAGCGGTGTTCGAATGTGGAGTGGTCTGTTTCTTACAGGGCGGCGGGACTTACAGAACTAGTGAACAGAGCCAAACCCTGCAAAGAACTAACCAATGTAAGAGTAAAAAGAGAGCCAACGCAAGGGTCAGAGAGAGAGAGAGAGAGAGAGAGAGAGAGAGAGAGAGAGAGATTACGTCGTACATTATGAATGTGACGCAGGGAGTGGACTGAGTGGTCAAGACACAGTAAGAGACAACGGCAATGAACTGTTAAACACTGATAAAGTGACAGAGAGAGAGAAAAGGTGAGAGAGAAAGAGAGATGGATTGGTCACAGAAAAAAGACAAGCAATGGAGGTACCGAGAAAAACAGAAAGACAACGGGTGGACAGCTCAGATAGCAACCGCAGGAGAAAGAGTGAGAAGAAAAGTAAGAGAGAGAGAAAGAAAAACAGAGCGAGTTCTCTGTGTCAGAGAAGAGAGGCTGCATATTATTAGCATGACTACAGACTGAGGCTACAGAGTCAAACAAAACCATGAGAGAGAGAGAGACATCGACTACACCAGCGCTGAGTTATCAGAGGAGCAGAGCTGCAAGAGAGGTGAGAGGGAGAGAAAGAGGGAGAAAGGAAGAAAGAAAGAGAGCAAGAGAAGCCTGGAAACACAAGAAACGCTTAATCTGGTCAGTCAGATAAAAAAATAAAGAAAGGAAGAGAAAATAACTGAAAACAGTAAACAAAACCAGAGCATACAGAGAGCTTAGCAAAAGAGAGTGCATATGCTGGAAAAAAGGAGAAGGAGAGAGAAACAGAATACATTCTAGATTAGTTTGACAAAGAAAAGAAAGACCAGGATGAAGCAATTGTTTTACAATAGAGAGAGCTGGAGAGAGAGAGAGAGAGAAAGAGAGACAGACAGAGAGCAAGAGAGAGAGAGAGAGAGAGAGAGAGAAAGAGAGACAGACAGAGAGCAGAGAGAGAGAGAGAGAGAGAGAGAGAGAGAGAGAAAGGGTGAATCTAGAAGACAAAGGAGAAGGATAGAATAGAGATGCAGAGAACAAACCGAACATGGCAAAGCCACAGGACAGACAGAGAGACGGACGGACGAACGGACAGACAAGGGTGGGGCAGTTCGGTCAGGGGGCGACATGCATCTTTAGAATGGTGGGGAGAGGAAGAAAGAAGAGAGAAATAAGAAATCTAGAGCTTGAAATTCATTATTCGCAACTGAATTTGTGGCTATTTATTTATCTAGAATTCATTCATTTGAAAGTTGAACCACACAAGGTGGACCCCAACAGTCTAAAGAGCGGGAAGGGGCCCAAGTCCAGATTCAGGCCAGCTCTGATCCACAGGGGTGCTGGGTACACAAGTCCAGTAGTGATGGGTTTCATAGCAAAAACCCATAAACTGTCTGTCTGTCAACACATTTTAGACACAAACGTGGATGCTGACATTATTTTTTGTTTTTTATTTTTATTTATAGAGCTAAATTCACTCATTAAACCAATGATATAAGCACAGCAGTAGTGTCGAAGACACACAGACAGACCCAGAAAGTCACATATAAAGCAAGCGAAGCCAGACAAGCAGACGCAGACGCAAAGACAGACATTCAAACTGAAGAACAGACCTCCGTATGGACAGACATACAGACAGACGGGAAGACAAAAGACAGGCAGACAGAGCTGGGGAAGGGGTTAGGAGGGGGTTAAATTCATTAATATTCATAATTTGTGTGAAGTCATTGGTTAATTAGCATAATTGAGTGTTTCTCAAATTAGTAGATTGGTTCATTAGCTGCTAACTGGTTAGTTGATTTGTTAATTGGTTCATGTAATAGATTTCTGTATTGGAGCCCACACACACACTGAGCTGTGAGAAATCTGATGAGAGTCTGACTGACTGCAGTGGAAGATGTATGAGGGGAGAGAGACAGAGGTAAAGAGAGAGCAATGGGAAGTAGGGGGTGTGGTCTTTCTGAATGCTGACCTTAAAGTGAAGCAGTGAAATATGAAGAAAGAGAGATAGAAAGCAAGAAAGCACGACCTTTCTCTTTTTTTACACTCCCTCACATTTACTGTTTTTCCCTCCCTCCTTATTGATTAGGAGGCGACAAAGCAAATCCTTGAAATTCACTAAGGGATATATAATTCATCGTGACTGAAGCCTTGCTCCCAGTGAAGGCTGCTATTGTCTATGAAAGGAAAAGGGCACATAAGGGAAGAAGTGTAAAGACAGTACTGACTTTAAATACTCAACAGTTCTGGTTCATATTCGCTGGGGAAGGTGTGATAATGTCCCAAAATGTGGGGATAGTGATGAAAAAGAGAGTGAGTGAGAGACAAAGAGAGTGAAAGAGAGAGAGAAAGAAATATCACATGAAAACGTAGTGAGATCTCATGAGCTATGAGCAGTGACATGGGGCGTTCAAAACCATAAACAAATCAGTCCCACCAGGATTGCCTTGTGTTCTGACTGTTGCGGTCTAAACTGCTCGATTTTGCTGAGGCTTTTCTCATTATTTGCAGCAGTATTTGCACAGTGGGGAATTTGCTGTACCATAGCCTTATTAATGTCCTGTAAAAATCCATTGTTTTAACAGAAAAGGAAACAAAGCACTAAATGTGTATATAAGTTACAATTATGTGCTCATCTTTTTAAAATTAATTTAGTCCTCTCTAGTTAGATTTTCTTTCCTAACAAGGAAATAATTATCTTTGAAGTATCATTTATTATGTTACTTGTCAATCATCAACAGTATCCTCTCGCACAGGCCTACTCTTAACTCAGCACCTGATGTACTTTTCAACAATGAATACAGTGCGGAATTGTGCAATAAAATGTATTCGCATGTTGCATGGTATACAAAACAGTTTCCATGCTGTTTTCATGTAAAGTATTTGGGAAAATTCTATTGTCTTTAAAAGGCCCATATCCTACATTTTTCTTACATTTTATTTTGTTCCTCTTTTGTGTGGTTTTATGTAGCAAAACCAGTCATAGTTCATTTTGCATGACCATGTTGTAACGTCTCATTATCCTTTAGAATTAAACAGGCTGTTTTTCCTACTGTGCTTTTAAGACTGATACATGTAAGTTAACTCTGTTCTGATATATTGTGCTTCATTCAGAAAGCAGTCCAGCCTGAAACACTTCAACATGAATGGGAGTTTGGCTTTACGTATATGGACTATTTAATGTGGAAATAATGCAGCGAATGCAAATTCCTGGAGAGACTGATCAATTGAACTATTTACCTCTAAAAACCAGATGACATGTAATATTGGTTCCTTTTATTTGGTGGATATAGTTAGTGGCCTTATGATCCATCTTTACTAAAATATTTGTACTGCTTAGTTTCTATTTGCTCAGGAAATGAGCTTCAATTCTCCAACCAGCTTAAGCACTGAGCTGATAGAGCAGCAAAGGGAGCGCAGGTCCACCAGTAGGGGGCAGAATGAACTCAAATTCCCCCGAACACTTCTGCTCATCCCACTTCCACCTGGAAAGTGGGCTGTTGGCATAGCAACCAGCGGGTGTGTGAGAGTGTGCGGAAGAGAGTGTGTGAGAGGGGGTTTGGGAGGACATCGGGGGGGGCAACAAACAGACAGTTACAGTGCCAACACAGCAGACGGGGAAAGGATATATGACAGGTACAGGTGAGAGCCTCCGTAACGCACACGCACGCGCACACAGACAAGGGAACACACACATTCTGAGGCAGGCGGGTGGGCCGTTTGTTGTTCACCGTGACCTGTTATACTATCCTGCTGTTACCTGCCCGGGGGGCTGCGTGTGGCGCCCCTCACCCACGCAGCAGAAAAGTGGGGAGAACAGCCTCGGCTGCAGGACTGGAGAGAAACGCGAGAGACACACCATCCCTCCATCCCTCTATCCCTCCTCCTATCCCTCGATCCCTCCCTCAGTCCCTTCATCTGCTCTCTGGAGATCCCCACAGCAAAGCAAAGGCAATAATACAATACAAACACTCACACAAGCACTCACATGTTTATTCCATGCACACGTATCTATAGCTACAGCCGGACTGCCTCCCAATAAACAGCACTCACCACTCACATGCTTGTTCCTCACATACATCTATTTCAGTACCCAGACTGCCTTCAGGCTGCACGCATGCACACACCAAACAAAAACACACCAACGCGTTCACACAAAACCCCAGGACACATTTCTAATCACACACCGCGTCTCCGCGCTGGGTGTGTCTGGTTAGCAGAGCTCGGCCAAGAACCATCAGAGTGGAGAGAACATACGAGAGGCTATTACATAACCAACCCACTCCACTAAACACTGTGTGAGTGTGGACTC